CGAACAGTATAATTTAATGTAATTATGGCGGATTACAGGGGGACAAATGTGGTATATATGGTGTCAACTGCCCAGAATGGATTATGAGCATGGAGGTATGCTGTCTTTTTTCCATTTTCATTTTCCTTTGTAAATTCTTCCATTTTTTACCCAACCCGTCAGTCGGTAGAAAAATGTGTACTTGATCAAGCAGGTAGGATCATCACGCCCTATTTTGTTTTGTTACTGCCCATTTTCCACTGATATGGTTCATAAAGAAAAAAGAAACGGTCCTCACTGTCCATTGTGGTATCCTCTTGAATTCTGAAGTTATGAGTTTGCATTGGGAAAAATATCTTTTGTGTTTGGTATCTCTGCTTAGGCTTTCACATTCTCTGAATCTTAGCTCATTCATTTGGTTATTTTTACATAAATGTCCTTTGTTCTTGGAACCTTTTATTAATAATATAAATCTTACGCTTCAGTCCGAAATATTAAATGAAAATCTTATGCAGGCTTGCAATGCTCATGGACTCTATTGTGTGCCTTTATATGACACTCTAGGTAGGCATATCTCTTCTTTATCATGTAGCCCACCCCAATCAGTTGGGTTCAAGGCTTGGTTGATATGAGTTGTGGTGCATTCACCTTAACTCTCAATTCATGATTTTTGAAATATTGTTTTATTTGTTTCTTTTCTAATCTCTGATATTTGGTTTAGGTGCTGGTGCTGTGGAATTTATCATTTGCCATGCTGAAGTTTCAATTGCTTTTACAGAAGAAAAGAAGATACCTGAGGTAAATGAGTTTTATATCAACAATTGTATTACTTACTACCGTATTACTGTGGCACATTGGAGAAAACTGCTGTCATATTATACTTACAACAAAGGTCGGATATTGACAATCATTGCCTAAAAAATTCTAGTTGGTTTGAGAGTAAAGGCATTTTTAAGCTTTGAGTGCTCATTCCGGTTCTCTTATGTGTACTGTATATTTTTCTCTTTCAGCTGTTGAAAACATTTCCTAACGCGGCAAAGCATCTGAAGAGTAAGTTGCTGCATATTTCTCATATTTTTCAAGATTCCTTGGTATGTGTCTGTTGTTGTCAGTAAAATAACTTCTTTATGTTCTTTAATTTTTCTTCTTTTAATCATGTAGCACTTGTGAGCTTTGGCAAGGTTACACCTGAACAAAAGGAAACACTTGAGAAGTATGGAGTAGCATTATATTCTTGGAATGAGTTTCTGCAACTGGTGGGTTGTTCTATCTGATCTCCCAGTCCTCTTCTCATGTAATAAGTCATATTGGTGAACCAAAGAAATTTATCTGAAAAGAAAAGAAGGACAAAGACCTCTAGATCACTATTATGAAGAAATTATTTGTGAAATTTTTAATGGAAGTACTCCCCTTCAGTCGGCCGAACATGGTTTAAAAGTTGCAAATGGTGCTTCTCTATCTGTGTGGAATTACCAAACTTCTAATCAAGATAATGTGTATTGTGTTCGAGGCAGGGATGTCTGGCTGTAATTGTCGTGTTTCGTGCATAGTTTGGTTATTTACACATTTCCAGAAGATCAGTAATTTTCATTTTTCTGGTTTAAGTTTTAGATCTGTTCCTGCAGGGAGATAATAAAGATTTTGATCTTCCAGTAAAAAAGAAAAGTGATATCTGCACTATAATGTATACTAGTGGAACAACTGGTGACCCCAAGGGAGTATTGATATCCAATGATAGCATCATTACACTTCTGGCAGGGGTGAAGCGCTTGCTAGAGAGTGTAAATGAACAGGTGATTTCCTTTTCATCTCAACTTACATACCTTATTTTGTGAGAACATGAGCTGGTTACTTTCGTTTTAAGGATGCTGACTTTTTACAAAATATTTTTCTTTTTCATTTTTAAAGTTGAACGAGAAGGATGTATATCTTTCGTTTCTTCCTCTTGCACATATCTTCGATCGCGTGATTGAAGAATTATTTATCTGGACTGGCGCCTCAATAGGGTTCTGGCGTGGGGTGAGTACAATTACTCATTGCTCTTCTCTAACCATAAATTATAAACCTGATATTACCTTATTTCTTATTCTGCAGGATGTCAAATTATTGACTGAAGACATTGGGGAGCTGAAACCGACCATCTTCTGTGCTGTTCCTCGTGTATTAGATAGGATCTACGCAGGTACCGTTTAACTGTGCATGATTTTAGCCATGGAATTGAGACTTCTTACTCATTGATACAATTATATCTTCAAATGAATCCACAATAATTTACTATATCAACTATTACGCTCTATAATTGCTTTGTGCATTTCCAGGCTTGACACAGAGGATTGCGACAGGGGGCATCGTGAAAAAGACAATGTTCAATTTTGCATATTCATAGTAAGTGCCATTCTTTGCTTATCATAATTAGTAAAATATAATTTATTATTGAATTTGTGAACATGTTTATTAAGAAAACAAGCTTGAATCTATATTTGATCTTATCCCTTACTCCCATATGATTCTTACTTTGTAAACAAGATATTTTATACTTGCATGTTGATAATTATTTCTTTTCCCTAAAATATCTTATCTATTTGTTTGCTGTGCATATACTACAACATGTGGATTTGCTGCAAATTTAGTTACCCCTACCCCTACTTGATATTTTGGCTCCAAGTAGAGATCAAATACGTATGTTTTTAATGGCAGTAGATAACATAATAGTTTTTATTACAACCTTTTGTGTTTCACGGTTTCTGCAGCAAGTATCATAACATGCAAAAGGGGCATGCACATGGGGATGCTTCTCCAATTGCTGACAAAATTGTGTTTAGTAAGGTGGTGAAATATTTCTTTTTCTTCCCCTTCAACATGCTTCATTGATATGAACCATGATTGTAACCATATTCTGCTTATTCAATTGAGTCTCATTTATGTTCTGACAACTTCAGGTAAAGCAAGGGTTGGGCGGTAGGGTGCGGCTTATTTTGTCTGGGGCTGCTCCTCTTTCTACTCATGTAGAAGCTTTCTTACGAGTGGTGGCATGCGCTCATGTTCTACAAGGATATGGTAAAGCCATCTTCAGCAGTTATTTTCATGGGATTATAAAAGCTAGTCTTTATTTTCTCAATGGCTTTATTGAATCTTTCTGCATTGCTTTTACATTGATAGCCTTTTCCATATCAACGTTATTGCAGGTCTGACAGAAACTTGTGCTGGTACGTTTGTGTCACTGCCAAATGAACTGTCAATGCTTGGCACAGTGGGTCCTCCAGTTCCAAATGTGGATGTATGCCTAGAATCTGTCCCTGAAATGGGGTACGATGCCCTTTCAGATACACCGCGTGGAGAAATATGTGTAAAGGGAAACACTTTGTTTTCAGGATATTACAAACGTGAGGACCTCACCAAAGAGGTCATGATCGATGGGTGGTTCCATACAGGTTTGTCCATATTGATGAATTTTGTAGTATGGTATGGCTCTCATGTCATTGACTGGAAACATTCAACTTTGCCTAAAATTATCTTTGCATCAGGTGATGTTGGTGAGTGGCAATCAGATGGAAGCTTGAAAATCATTGACCGCAAGAAGAATATTTTCAAGCTTTCACAAGGAGAGTATGTTGCAGTTGAAAACTTGGAGAATATTTATGGACTTGTTTCTGATATCGATGCGGTATGCCTTTCTTCTTTTGTATTTATATTTCAAAAGTATTTTATTTCTGCCTTTGATTCTCATCCACCTTGTTAAATAGAAAATGTTCTTCCAGATATAATGACTTGTGTGATAAATTGATACATACATTAAATGCAATATTATGAAAGGTTGTCAGCTATCTTTGTGTGAAAGAAAGAGAGAGTTGTTTTAGCTGTTGGAAGGATACACTAGTCTGATGACTTAGAGTTCATTCTCTCAATTTTGATATGAATTTATACTTAGTCTGATGATTTTTAATTTTTTTTGTCAAATTTAGATATGGGTTTATGGGAACAGCTTTGAGTCCTTCCTGATCGCAGTAGTTAATCCTAACAAGCAAGCAATTGAAAGTTGGGCTGAACAAAACGGTGTATCTGGTGATTTCAATTCTCTCTGTGAACATACAAGGGTGAAAGAATACATACTTGGAGAGCTCAATAAGATTGCTAAAGAGAAAAAGGTTTCTGCTTTCTCAATTTGAGTACCTTAAATGTTTAGTCATGGGCCACACTTATTTTTGGCTGTTGGAAAATCTTTGGAAGCTTTTTGTGATTCTATTGTGTTGTTCGTGGCAGTTGAAAGGCTTTGAGGTTATAAAAGCTGTTCATCTCGACCCAGAACCATTTGACATGGAGCGTGACCTTATCACTCCAACTTACAAGAAGAAGAGACCCCAGTTGCTTAAATATTATAAGGTACCTCTATCCTGTTTCCTCTAGGAATTTTTCTAAATACTTGTATTAACAATGCACATAACGTGAAAGGTGTGGTTAACACACTTGTACCACTATGGTAATCTGATCTACACGACTTGATTTATACTACAGTCATCGTAATTTCGGCATCACATTGACACAGTTATAATATATTCTTAGCTTCATCGCACAGTATCTGATATAAGGACCTAACATTACTTATGTTCTGTGACTGTGTCAATACATGGTTTATGTTTGTCTATCCATTATGACACATGAAGCCAGGATGGGAAAGATTGTAATAGTTGTTGTCCCTGTTGCATAGATCATCCGTTTGGAAATCTGTTTAGACATATATACGAAAATTCCCATTAATTCGTGTGTGTTGCCAGTTGTTCCTGATGCCTTAATTTCTAATTAATCGTTGTTCTCTGCTCAAAGTCTTTAGTGCATGGATTACTTCATTAACGGATGCTTAGACAGTGATTAGTTTCTATGAGTAATTGTTGGTTTGGTTACTTCTAAAAGGTTGTCAGCTATCTTTGTGTGAAAGAAAGAGAGAGTTGTTTTAGCTGTTGGAAGGATACACTAGTCTGATGACTTAGAGTTCATTCTCTCAATTTTGATATGAATTTATACTTAGTCTGATGATTTTTAATTTTTTTTGTCAAATTTAGATATGGGTTTATGGGAACAGCTTTGAGTCCTTCCTGATCGCAGTAGTTAATCCTAACAAGCAAGCAATTGAAAGTTGGGCTGAACAAAACGGTGTATCTGGTGATTTCAATTCTCTCTGTGAACATACAAGGGTGAAAGAATACATACTTGGAGAGCTCAATAAGATTGCTAAAGAGAAAAAGGTTTCTGCTTTCTCAATTTGAGTACCTTAAATGTTTAGTCATGGGCCACACTTATTTTTGGCTGTTGGAAAATCTTTGGAAGCTTTTTGTGATTCTATTGTGTTGTTCGTGGCAGTTGAAAGGCTTTGAGGTTATAAAAGCTGTTCATCTCGACCCAGAACCATTTGACATGGAGCGTGACCTTATCACTCCAACTTACAAGAAGAAGAGACCCCAGTTGCTTAAATATTATAAGGTACCTCTATCCTGTTTCCTCTAGGAATTTTTCTAAATACTTGTATTAACAATGCACATAACGTGAAAGGTGTGGTTAACACACTTGTACCACTATGGTAATCTGATCTACACGACTTGATTTATACTACAGTCATCGTAATTTCGGCATCACATTGACACAGTTATAATATATTCTTAGCTTCATCGCACAGTATCTGATATAAGGACCTAACATTACTTATGTTCTGTGACTGTGTCAATACATGGTTTATGTTTGTCTATCCATTATGACACATGAAGCCAGGATGGGAAAGATTGTAATAGTTGTTGTCCCTGTTGCATAGATCATCCGTTTGGAAATCTGTTTAGACATATATACGAAAATTCCCATTAATTCGTGTGTGTTGCCAGTTGTTCCTGATGCCTTCATTTCTAATTAATCGTTGTTCTCTGCTCAAAGTCTTTAGTGCATGGATTACTTCATTAATGGATGCTTAGACAGTGATTAGTTTCTATGAGTAATTGTTGGTTTGGTTACTTCGTACAAATAGAAAAGTATATTGATTTTGGTGATAGTGCTGACTGAAATTTTTTGATGCACAGGAAATCATTGATAACATGTACAAGAGTGCAAAATAAGCCCTAATGCCTGAAAGATTTACTTGAGGAGCCTGAGACCTTGTTCAATTTGACAAATTCGATTCTAGTTTATTTTGTGACTGTACATATGCTTATTTGTACACCTGATAATTTGTGTACCGAATTTGGATGTACTTCAGAAAACTACTGATGTATGTTTATGCAAATGGGCTAAACCATTAACTTTGATTGTTCTCTTGATCAATTTGCTGCGATATTCGTTTGGTTACCCTAGAGGCAACAATGTCATATCCAAACTTTTTTTGTTTTTTTCTGAATTATATACAAACTTTTTTAATTCCAATAATTAGTTTATGTTTAAAAGTCCACCTTGAATATGATTTATTTACAACCAATAAGCAATTGTCATGTTGGCATATATCAGTTTGTTTAAAAATATTCAATTCTTCTTTCCTTATCGCTTGTATTTATAAAAATAAAATAAAATTCCATTGTCCAACCACCATATTTTTCGACTTATGCATCAGTCTTTTGGCTTTGCCGACTAGCTCCACAGTTTGACTTGTTGGTTTCTTTTTTCTTTTCTTCTTTGTTTAAAATCTAGAAATGAGGCGTTTCCTTGTGATCCCCAAAAAATAAAGGAAAAAAAAAAGTTAAATAAAATAATTCTACAATTCTGGCCCAGGGTGTAGGAATTTATGGTTGGCCAAATGTTTGAAAATTTCGACACAAGCATGCCGATGATAAGGGAATTCCTTTTACACATCCAACGCACATAAAAGTTTCAGAGAAAAAGGATGAACAATGGGTCAACATGTTCCTCAAGACGTAAGATCTCAAAACAATAAGATAATACGAGTCATATTGAATACACATGGAAACTACAAAAGGACAAACCACAAAACAGCACGTCGCTTTCTGTTATCAGGAAATTCGTCTTACACATCCACATCTATCAGTGCAATATATCACATTGTCGACTAACTCAAATCTCATTTTCTAAAGTGGCTTGTGGCCATCTTTGGAAAAGAAACAGAAAAAGGATCTTAGCTATGCTACGATTACAGGATAGTGCAATTGTGTACAAAGTATAAGATACGATGGTAGACAAGTAGAGCATACATGCGCCAAAACATGGTGACTAATCTGCATGGAACTGTCGGAACTGCTCCGGTTCAATCTGATTGTGTGTTAGGTAATACAACATCCCTATCATGAGGAGGAGCACGGGATACTGATGAGTACTGTAGCGCAAGTAGCTCCTCCCTGCTATACTTCAATCTTTGATCTGGTTCATAAAGTTTAGGAATGAAGTTAGATGATGCATATAAATATGCTACCGCCATAAAAAATTTAATTTAAAAAATAACAATGTTGATATTATATAAATTCTACCTAAAAAGCATGGCAACACGGGTACTTCCTGCTTCTGCTTCGCTTGTGAAGCCTTTAAAGTTGATCGTGAAGAAGATGCACTCTTAGAAACAATCTGCTTGGACGGAAAGATATGAACAAGTTCATGCCTTACTTCAATATGAGGATGAGTTTTACAAAAGGATGAGATTGCATCTTCAGTCAAGAGCCAACAACCCCTCAGGTCCATCATTCTTAGAGTCGAGGGGGGTTTATAAGAATTGAGCCCAGAATTTGTCAGAACACCATCGCGAATGCAAAGATTTGTCAGCTTTGGCATAGATGATGTATAGTTAAAGGAGATGTCTGTAAGAGAAACACTTTTAAGTGATAACTCGCGTAACTCCTGGAAATTTTTTAAAGGGTATAGAGCTGCCTCCGTAACTTGCGTATCTACCAAATTCAACCGTTCCAAATGTTGGAGACTTTGAAGTGCTGACAGAGAGAGGACTGGATCTGACTCGGGCCCAAGCTGGTGAATGACACCTGATAAAAGGAAAAACACATATTATGTCTCCATTTCATGCAGCTGAAAACTGTTCATTTTTATGTATGCAGTTGACTACAAAATAATTTCACCTAACCGCATGGAGAAGACAGAATAGCATACAGCCTATTTACTAGATACCAGATTATTCAAGCCCTCCTTCTATCCTTATCATTGCATACTGATGAAGAAAACCAGAGATCTAGCATTTGTATCATAAACCCATACCTTTAATGTTTGTATTGCTCAAGTCGATAACCTTCACAGATGGCATCATGCTCATATATGAAATGGCAACATCATCCACTGATGTGTGAGATACTGACAAAAACTCAAGATTGGGTGCATGTCCAGTTAAAGTTTCAACTCCAGCAGAGCTGACTCTGGTGTGGCTAAGATTTAGATATTTCAAATTTACTCCAAAACATGCAATCAGTTTAAGGGAATCATCCCCTATCATACTACGGCTGAGATCCAAATGTTCCAGAGCATTTAGATGAGATAAGAAATAGAATTTGTGAAGTGAAGAGTTGGATACATCCAAAAATGTCAAAAAAGTTGTTTCAATATAATGGAAGGCTACAAACTCATCCCCGAATGTAGCCCCAGAAACAATAAGCTTGGTTAAAGGAGCTTTATTATTATCTCCTTCAAGTAGGGTATTAATTGTACAATTACTCATGTTCAGACATTCAAGGGATGACAAATTTGGCAACTTCGTGACATTGGTCCAAGCTAGATTGAGGAAACTCAACTTAGGGAACATTTGAAGAAAAGCAGCACCTTTGTCAGTTATTTTACTCCCCCATAGGTCAAGGTATTGTAGTTTAGTAAGTACCTGAGGAAAATCATCACAAAACATGAAGTTGAGAAATGAAATGGAAAAGGGTGGATAGAATTTAGATATCCAGTAAGCAACTTCTCTAAAACGCAGCATAAAAAACATTGGATGAAATCAAGAACCATATATGGTTGCAACGAGCAGATAACTATGCGGCAGCACAGAAAGACAAATCAACTTCAGCTGCTAAGATATCAGGGCCAAATTCCCTTATTCAAACCACATAAAAATATACTACAGCAGTTTCAACCAAATGCAACGTTTACAAATATCAAGTCTTGACTTCTGGGACAGCCTAAGACGAGCAAATGGATACCAACAAAATACAGTGAGACAGTCACAGAAATTCAAGTGTCAAATAATGTTGAATATGAGGTTCACCAATCATCACAAGGAAATTTGAGCTCACTTGATTCCATAAACATGCAATCATAATCAAGTAATGAGAACTACAACCAATCAATGTTTCAAAAACATGTGCAGAAAGAAACAACTGAATACTAGATTTACCTGGAGAGAACTCAGTGCTAGATCAGTGACAGGCAAACCACCCAAGTCCAGGACAGACAACTTTCTAAGTGAAGAGAGAAGCATAACCCCATTTGCAGACACACCAGTTTCAGAAATGCACAATTTCGCCAAAGTTGTAATAGTTAGAAGATGCCTAATGCCAGCATCAGTAACCTTGAAGCATCTAGAAAGGTCCAACTCCCTCAAACTCTCCAGCCCTAATTCAAACCCAGTAAACACTTCAAAATGTAAGACATTTTTCAAAACAGAATTCTATATGAATGCTAGCATACACTAACATGATTAAAATTTCAACTTTTTTAGCCATAAATTAGAAACTTAAAAATAAAACAAAATCGAAATACCTGCAATAGGCCAAAGAGCAGAGGTAGTGAGTCTACGGCAATCAGAAAGATTTAAAGATCGCAAGTAACGAAAGGCTCCTATGTATGCAATCCATTCGGCATCAACAGAGCTCTCCCCTCTTAGATCAAGCTCCTCTACGCTGTGTTTAAATAATCTACACCATATGCCCACAACCCATTTCATTTCCATGCGCAAGTAATCGAATTTCTTTGAAATCAAGTAACTTTTATAAGTTTTAATAGATTAGACACGAGTTTCTCGGGAAACAAACATATAAAAAAAAGGTGAGAAACGTACTCGAGCAAGGAAGGGAAAAGGATGCGACGGGAGATGAGACGGCGAAGGAGAGAGTCGGCGAGCTGAGAAGGCAAGCGCTCAAGAGTCCGTCTCTGCCTCCGCCATTTCTCGATGCTGTCTCTGCTTTCAGAGGCTGTTTGTAAGCAAAGCTCCACCAATTGGTTCTCCATTTCTCTGATTCTTTTCTCTCTTTGCCTTGTGTCTTTGTGTTTCTGAGAGATGTGAACGAAAGTCAGAGGACAAAGAAAACTGGGCTCGATTTTTTAATAATTTAGTTAAGAAATTGGAGGGTAATTAAACGGTTATTTATTTATTTATTTTTCAATTACCCTCCCTTGGACGAATAAATTGAAAATAACATAAAATTTTAAAATGACGAAATTTAGATTTCTATTATTTAATTTCTGGCAATTGAAGATTTCAATGTTTAGATTTAAGTATGTCGAATTGTGTAAATGACACTTTGGAAATTATGAAATAACCTTTATTTTGGTGGAAATTAAACTTGGGAAATTTGATGCCCCAATTTCTAAGATTTTTTCTGCGCATCATTTAATAAATTACACGCTTAAGTTGTCAAACAAGGGAATTGTCAATTTCTCCTCTTAAATTGTTGGTTTGAGTCACAATGAATTATCAGTGTATTTTACCAAAAGAAAAAAGAAGTGTAAAGAACCAAGATGGTTGGTGTGAGTGGTTCGGCACTCTCATTCCTTAAGAGAGGTCAGGGGTTCGATCCCTACTCTCATCGAATTGTGTAAATGACACTTTGGAAATTATGAAATAACCTTTATTTTGGTGGAAATTAAACTTGGGAAATTTGATGCCCCAATTTCTAAGATTTTTTCTGCGCATCATTTAATAAATTACACGCTTAAGTTGTCAAACAAGGGAATTGTCAATTTCTCCTCTTAAATTGTTGGTTTGAGTCACAATGAATTATCAGTGTATTTTACCAAAAGAAAAAAGAAGTGTAAAGAGCATAAGCAAAGGGGCACATGTTTGTCACATGCTAAGCATGAAATGGGTACATGTGTTTTGTCATGCCACCACATACTAATTAGAAATTATTGTGTGTATTTGATACGGTGAATTCTATCAGGTGAATTATTGTTGATATCTAAATGAATCAAAATATAATTTGAGTATATTTGATGCGCTAGATCAGCATAGCACGCAGTGTATCAGATGTTTAACGTCTCAGAATGCAGCTTCTGAGAAAGAAAAGTATATATATATATTATTATTATTATTTATACAAAACAAGCAAACAGAGGTTGGCTTTCAGATGACTGATGAGGTGAGAATATTTGATACGCTGAATTAGCATGCCATGAAGAACACCGCCCAAAAGGGGTCTGACAATACGATACCATAATCAAAAGGTACGGCGGAGCAACCAAACTTAGCATAGATGTAGAGTCACTTCACTGGAGCCATTCTAAAAAGGGATAAATTAACACTACTTTGTTTGGTGAAAAAGAGTTGTTTTGTGGTCACCGAAATGGCAGAAGTTGAAATCTGACCCTGACTGTGTTTTTTTATGGAATTCAGAGAACCTGGAAAATGGCGATGTCGAAATTATATATTGAATGAAACTTGGAGCCAAGTGATGTTTGTCGGTATTTTAGTTATGATGGAGCCATGCAAGTCGTCAAATGAAATTTGTGACAACAGAATCAAACTCTAGTTTGTACCACTTACACCACCTGCTGCTGGGTTCAAACTTCAAAGGATTCTTTCGATCGTCATACTCATACATTAAGAACCCAGATAGCTTTTATCTCTTAAAAGCTACTGCCTGCTTGCTTTCTAGTCATGCTTAACATGCATGCATGCGTGCATTTCCCATGTATTTGGTAAAGGCCAAAAAAAAGAATTAAATTTTCACAAGTGTGCAAACAAAAGTAGCACTCAAAACCAAAAACCAAAATACCAATGAAGGGTGGGGATTTCGTATTTAGGGTTGAAGCCCTGCGAGAGTTACGTGTTGTTCAAATTGCTACAGCCACTTAGGGCATCCACCCAAACATTCTCTTTACTTGACCGACTCACGTCTCAATTTCAAACAAATATAAAAAATATATAAAATACAAAATAAAAATAGCAAATTGGCCACTAAAAACTTGAAGGGTTAAACAGAGGTAGCTTTCGGTGGTAGCAGCGACTCAGGGCACCAGTTGGTTTGATTTGAGCCCTCCTCCTCTCCTCTCCTCCTCTACAAATTCACAACGCCACGTCACCATCTCCCGCCGAAACCCAAACACCTTGGGGTTTAGCCCTGCCGACAACGTGTCCTCTGCCCTCTCCCAAAACCCCCGTCATCAAAATCCCCTCCCACCCTTGAATGAACCTTAAAAACCAAGACCGCCTTTCCCCATTCAACCCCCAAACACGTGTCCCCCCCAAACCCCCCGTCATCAAAATCCCCTCCCACCCTTGAATGAACCTTAAAAACCAAGACCGCCTTTCCCCATTCAACCCCCAAACACGTGTCCTCCATCCAGCCCACCGTCCCCCTACTCGACCGTCCCGATTTCAGCTCCTTCCCCTGTTTAAAAAGACTTTCTCAGTCCTCTGTTTTAGCTCACAAACTCAAACTAAGTACCCTGAAACACATGAAAAGAAAACAGAGGAGGACTGACCCATCCAATCCAGTCCACCCGATTCAATTCCTCCACGTAGAGGTTAAGTCCGCAAGGCATCAATTCTGGCTTCGAAGATTGCTACATGAACAAGAGGCAGATAAGCATCACTGACCGCACTTCCCGCGAAGCCGCCGCCCTTTCCTCATCCCACGA